AAGTCAGAATTCTGAAATTAAAGTCAGAATTCTGAGAATAAAGTCAGAATTCTGAGATTAAAGTCAGAATTCTAGATTAAAGTCAGAATTCTGAGAAAAAAGTCAGAATTCCAGATTAAAGTCAGAATTCTGAGAAAAAAGTCAGAATTCTGGAAAAAAAAGTCAGAATTCTAGATTAAAGTCAGAATTCTGAGAAAAAAGTCAGAATTCCAGATTAAAGTCAGAATTCTGAGAAAAAAGTCAGAATTCTAGATTAAAGTCAGAATTCTGAGATTAAAGTCAGAATTCTGACTTTTTTCTCAGAATTCAGACTTTTTTCCCATACTAAACTGAAAAAAATTAAAAAATCAGTTAACTTTTTTTTCCAGTGGCCCTAATCCTCTTCCATATTCTTCTGCCTCCTTGTAACTGTTTTATTTTTAATTCCTCGTTCATCCACGTGAGCACGCAGCTCTGGTATTTATATTTTTGCTCACTTGTCACCTCTTTATTTGTTGTGCTATGGTACAGTTAACGTTTCTGATAGAGATAGGAGCAACAAGAAAAGCGCTTCTTAAAATGTTTTGTGTTTATTTTGTTATCCTTCCCTCACTGTCTTTCCCTTCATGTGTGAGAGGCGTACATAGTCGAATCTTTATCTGCTAGCCAAGATTACACTCCGCAAGGAGAGAGAGTATTCAGACAAACAGTTTTGCTGTCTTTAACGTAAACACCACCACTTAGACTAGACCAAATATTTACCTTCTGCCCCTGTTCATCCCTCTGTTCAGATCCACAGAGCCACACGCCGACTGATGCATATCGCAACTAGTTGTATCAATAATTCAGCAGAAATATGAGCATTTTTTACATGTTTTTGGGTGAACTTGTGGAGAAAAGAATTAAGACAGAATCTCCATTCATGTTTATTTAACATCAGTGATAAATCAGTGAATATAAATATTTGTTTTCTTCCAAATTTGACTTGAGTCTCTTATATAGAAGCAGATGATTTTAAAACGGTCCTGACAGATGCATTCATACATACACATTCACACACACAGATCGCAGTGGGTCATTGGTTGTTTGTTTTCATACTTGTTTCAAAAATAATAAAACTCTCTCTTGCACTCTCAGCTTGTGCGCACACACACACACACACACACACACACACACAAAGGGTGATTCTCACAGACGGCCTTTAAAAGCTCCTGACAGGGAGGGACATGCTTGGGTTTAAAGAGCCAATGCACTGATTTACACTTCAACACTTTTGCAGATAAGCTGACTTTTTACAGGAGCTACTTTTAGTTCTTTCCAGTGAGTGTGTGCGTGTTGAGCTCTCAATGCTCATTGTGTTGGCGTGTTTGTTTAGGGGCACCGCTTTTGTTTGCCCCATCATTGTCTTCCTGTGACTTGTGCGTAATTTGGGTACGAGTCCAGACGAAGTTCGCTCGTCACTTTGTCCGTGTCCGTCTGAGTGGATCTGACGGGTCTTCCTGGGCTCTACAGTGGAAGTTATTGTGGTTCAGCCAAGGGCGTAGCTTTGATTTCAACTTTGGTAGGAACACTATTGGTCTTCAGTTTCATTGGTCTGATGTCATTGGTCCTTTGCAAAAATATACATGCTCCTTTTTATGCTTAATGTGAGCATCAGGGCACATTTTTTTAAAGAAAACAGCAGCATTTCTTCCTACATTAATACAAATCGTATAAGCACTACACACACTAGATGCTGTTTATCAATGTTTAAAGCATCCCTGGCTCTGACAAATGTGGAATTAGGACTTTTTCCACTTTCAAAAGGTTTGCATTTAAACGTACCAGCAACTAAGTCAGTTTCCATTTAACCAAACATAGTCTAAATACACTCACGGGCCACTTTATTAGGTACCCCATTCTAGTAACGGGTTGGACCCCCTTTTGCCTTCAGAACTGCCTCAATTCTTCGTGACATAGATTCAACAAGGTCCTGGAAGCATTCCTCAGGGAGTTTGGTCCATATTGACATGATGGCATCACACAGTTGCAGCAGATTTGTCGGCTGCACATCCATGATGCGAATCTCCCGTTCCACCACATCTCTATTGGATTGAGATCTGGTGACTGTGGAGGCCATTTGAGTACAGTGAACTCATTGTCATGTTCAAGAAACCAGTCTGAGATGATTCCAGCTTTATGACATGGCGCATTATCCTGCTGAAAGTAGCCATCAGAAGTTGGGTACATTGTGGTCATAAAGGGATGGACATGGTCAGCAACAATACTCAGGTAGGCTGTGGTGTTGCAACGATGCTCAATTGGTACCAAGGGGCCCAAAGAGTGCCAAGAAAATATTCCCCACACCATGACACCACCACCACCAGCCTTAACCGTTGATACAAGGCAGGATGGATCCATGCTTTCATGTTGTAGATGCCAAATTCTGACCCTACCATCCGAATGTCGCAGCAGAAATCGAGACTCATCAGACCAGGCAACGTTTTTCCAATCTTCTATTGTCCAATTTCGATGAGCTTGTGCAAATTGTAGCCTCAGTTTCCTGTTCTTAGCTGAAAGGAGTGGCACCCGGTGTGGTCTTCTGCTGCTGTAGCCCATCTGCCTCAAAGTTGGACGTACTGTGCGTTCAGAGATGCTCTTCTGCTCACCTTGGTTGTAACGGGTGGTTGTTTGAGTCACTGTTGCCCTTCTATCAGCTCCAACCAGTCTGGCCATTCTCCTCTGACCTCTGGCATCAACAAGGCATTTCCGCCCACAGAACTGCCGCTCACTGGATGTTTTTTCTTTTTCGGACCATTCTCTGTAAACCCTAGAGATGGTTGTGTGTGAAAATCCCAGTAGATCAGCAGTTTCTGAAATACTCAGACCAGCCCTTCTGGCAGCAACAATCATGCCACATTCAAAGTCACTCAAATCACCTTTCTTCCCCATACTGATGCTCGGTTTGAACTGCAGGAGATTGTCTTGACCATGTCTACATGCCTAAATGCACTGAGTTGCCGCCATGTGATTGGCTGCTTAGAAATTAAGTGTTAACGAGCAGTTGGACAGGTGTACCTAATAAAGTGGCCGGTGAGTGTATGTCTGTCATATGTGGATTTATCCTGTTTTGTTTTGAAGATATAGAATTGTGCAGAAGTAAACAGAGGTAAACCACACTCTTATTTATTATCTAATATGCTCTCTATGTATCATGCAAAATTATACATTTAACGGATGGCAAATAAATGTATTGTACTTACATGAGCAATGGAACTATAAGAGGAACTGACACTGAGTATTTTGAAATATTAACTTCACTATACAAGTTGTACATCTGGGCTGTAGTTATTCTGTGTCGCCTATTTCACGTATTTTATCTAGGGCTGAAACAATTTATCTTATTAACAGATTATTTGAATAATCGTCAACTAATTTAGTAACTGATTAATCATTAACTGGAGTATAGGGCCACTAAAATGTGCCTTTAGCCGATAGAGCGGCCCACTTAGAGCAGGAATTATACCAAGATTGTAAAAAATATGTAAAAATGTTGCATTTAAGGTTTTTGTCTGTCAATGTTCTCCATCCAGAACTCCTCAAGAGGAAATGTTTCTGTTCCACCTCGTTTCATTTCGTAAAATATCTTCTTAAAGGAGCCTTTGGCTATCTGATTAAAAGATAAAATAAAAGAAACGTACATTTCTCAAGTTCCACAAATCCACACTGGAAAAAATCGAAATCTAGATAAGTAATTCTTTCTTAAAATAAGTGCATTTGTTCTTAGATTGAGGAGGTAAAAGAGACATTGTGCCAATAAAACAAAAAAATGTACACTTAAAATATGAAAACAAAATTGATTTGTCTTATTTCAAGTGCATATTATCTAATTATCTTATTTTAAGAGTAAAAATGCGCATTCAGCGTCTGCTCTGCCGATAATGCAAGCGTAGAAGAAGAAATGTGCTGTTTACCTGTGCAAAGAAAGAAACAACGAAAGAAAAATGTCTGAGGACTTCAGTGTTGAGGAAGAGCATGAGTTCTTTGCCGAGCTGAATGCGCACTTTCGTCTGGTTTGGTCTGCCGCGGTTTCCATAGACTCGTGAACGCGCTTTTAGGAAATCCTATACACTACTGTTTATGCTCTAAAAACATTCTAAATGACTTCGTTTCGAGTAAATTCTGGACGCTACCCACTCAGGACACTTGGAATACATTGGACGAGCAGTATGGAGGAATATTGACACGTTTTTTGTGGACTTTTATGGACCTTTCTGCCTCGGGCGCCATAGACCTCCATTATTTGAATGTCAGCATACAGCAAGAAGCCTCCCAGATCCCCAGATGCATTTGAGATATCAAAAAAGTACTCCAGAGTGTTGTTCAGCATGGGGGTGAGTAGAAAATGAAGGCTAAACATGTTTTGGGTGTACTATTCCTTTAAGGGCCCTGTCACACCTTGCTGATTTAGCCAGCGTACGCCTGACGTCCCAGAATCTTCTAAAACGCTAGCATATGCTGCACTTTCTATGTATTTTTTCAATTTTGGGCGTATACGTAGCATATTCATAACAAGTCCTGAGCATATTTCCAGCATATTTTACTGCCTAACTTATGCATAACGCACAGCAGTGTAATGCCCATGAAATGATGCTTGTGCATGTGCTTGTTCACCCCATTTAGTTAATGCAAAAATATGATAAATGTGAGAAATGCAGTTTGTTACATTTAACTGGCTCGCAGTCATCCTTGGAAAGACCGGATCCACCACACTTTTGAAAAGGTTGAGATGCTTCAGAGAGCCCTGATTTTTAAACTGCAGTACCTTGTTTACATTAGAACAAACATAGTTTTATTGACAAAATTGTTTCCATGGTAAATATAGTTGAAAACAGACACAGTGTAAAATAACAGTTTTGAAATGATGAGAACAAAATAATTATTTAAATAAAAACAGTTGAGAGCCAGAAGCTGAAACCCCGGTTTAGCAGCAATAAAGCCTTATTTTTATCATTTTAAAGCATTTAAAACTTTTCAAAGCAATGGGCACTGCTTCTAATAACGTGTGGAAGGAGATGTACCTGGAGGGAACTTTGTGCGACGCCATGATCAGAGTCAAAGATGCAGAGTTTAAGGTCCATAAGCTCGTCCTCATGGAGCCAAGCGCCTACTTCAGGTAAACAACTTTATTTAAAATTAACTTTTCTTTAAACCATTTTTTTGCTGATCTCAATCTATAAAGTTATAGAAAGGCTATGAGGTTTGAAAGATACTAAATTAACATGCCAGAACTGAGCCAAGTTGCTCAGTAATAACCGTAAAATGATGCAATGTGCTGATGAAGGTTCTCAGTCATCCAGGTCATAGTCATTCCGTAAAAATTCAAAAAATATCCACTGGACTTGGTAAAATGATGCAATGTAAAAACATTAAGCAGTGATGGTTATACTTGAGTCGCAAGCAGTGAAAAACGAAAATGTAGGACTAATTTTACAGCAGAATATAAGTATATCCACGTCTAGTGAAGGAGAGGAACAGTGGCGGATCTAGACCAAATGTACCAGGGGGCCAGGAGGGGGCCAGCGTGTTTTCATGGTGCCACAGAAAAGCATGACATAAAAAAAAACAGGGCAAGGGATTGAAATATATTAAGAGAGCTGCATGAAGTGAAATTTCTTTTCAATTAGGTTCAATAAAAATTCTATTTCTTATGAGGTCCATATACATTTATAATTTAGGAATTTTAGATATTTTTGACTTAATTTAAATTAAAACTGTTTTCTATCAAATTTGAATTAGAACTTAAGAAAAACTGTAAATCTGTAAAAATTTGTGCTTTTTTTATTTGTTGTGAGAAAAAAAATAGCAGATGAAAACTGGGATCCTATCTCAATACCACTGAAGCTATCGCCTTATTGTTTTTGAATAATTAGTAAAACAGAATTTGTAAAGAAAAATATTTAAATAGATCCAAAGGACCTATCGGTAACCTGTTCCAGCGGATATTATCATTAGAATTTCTTTTTAGTAATATGTCTTCAGAACAGGGGCCAGGACATGATCTACACGTAGCCTCATGAGACCATCTTTACTCGCGAGCTTTCAAGGTTTCACTCGCAAATCAGACTGGAGACTTTCCGTTAAAGAAAATTTGGAGCCGTTCACCAAACGAACGTCCAATCAGCGTTGGCTTTGAGGCGGGTTGAGGTGTGACGCAACGAGAAGCGCGACAGTTCGGTCTAAAGAACATGGCGGCTTCAGCCGATGAAACTAGCGTTAGCGTGGCTATCGGGCAAGTTTTATTTCTTCACTGAAAGAAGAGCAAAAACTGCTCTGGAGGCTTTTCTCAGAGGAAAAGATGTTTTTGCTCTTCTCCCGACTGGCTTCGGCAAGAGTAGCCTGGCTTGTGGTTGTGTTTTCGTCGTCGCTCTGTTAGTACGTCATATGCTTCGTTGATCTGATTGGTTTATTTGGCCCGTCTATCACCAACATAGGCCAATCAGCTAACCAGTATTTTCGCCCCTTCCCAAAATTACTTCAACAGAAGGTTTCCAGATGGATATGCAGAGCAAATCCATCTGGCGGAGTCAGGTTAATCTACACGCTGGCCCCTAGAACCAGCCATGGTGAGGAATGATGACACCGTTGCGAGGTGCACTGTATGCTGAAGTCCCATGAAAAACAGAAAGAGCAAGCGATGTTCAAGGCTACAAGATTGAAAGTATCGAAAATTGAAAATAAAAGAACAATACTGTTCTGTTTTGTGTTTAAGAAATTACCGACGCTCCGGACAGCTTTACCATACAAACATGAGAAGCGGTGCACTCCTGTCGTACATGCAGTAATTTATGGATGTTTAAAATAAGGTTGGGTCCGGATTAGCCAGCAGGTGGGTCAGGATCTGGACCCTGGACCGCTAATCCATGACCTCTGCACCAGACGTTCTGATACTCATTGTCGGGTTCATAAAATTTAGGTATTTTGTAAAAAGAAGAACTAAAATACACAACTTATGGATACAATTTATGCAGAAAGGAGAGACAGTTGAACCCCAGACTCAAACACACTGTCTCCCACTGGACCTCCTCCGCAGAGCATTTTATTAACAGACATGACGCATGGTTACAAACAGAGTATTGTTCTGACAGAACAATTGATCAGTTCATGAAGACAGAATGCTCCATCAGAATGACAAGGCAGGATGGTCTCCTGACTGAATCATGAGACAGGAGTGGAGCATCCCCTTGCACAAATGTTTTATAAGCACACATTAATTTTAGAATCATCATTGAATAAACCTAACACTCATCTAAAATGGTGTAACCTCTACATGCTATCCTAGATTGTGATTAGGGTGGATGTTCAGACACAGCCCTTCTGTTTGTCGAAATCCCAAAAAACTACATCCTTGTTGTTAGTTGTAACCTGACAAAAGGAGTGGCGTAAAATCTCTCTTCGTATGTCTGATCTTGATCCCACAGGGATCTGTTTCTCAGAAAACAATCAACAGAGCAGCAAGTCTACAGCTTCCCCAACGTGTCATCCCATATCATGGAGCTCATCCTGGAATATGCATACACCTCCTGTGTTAAACTGACGGAGGACACTATGGAGGATCTGTTGGAAGCAGCGGACTACTTCGCCATCAGTGGCGTCACGCAGGCCTGCTGCGACTTCCTTCAGCAGAAAATCTCCTCCAAGAACTGCATCAACACCTGGAAGCTGGCAGAACTCCACAAATTCCTTGATCTAAAGAAAATGGCCTACCTCTACATCCTGGAACACTTTGAAGAGGTGGTGGAGCTCTGTGCTGATTTCCAGCTGCTCTCTGTGATGCGGCTGGTAGACCTTATTGGAAGGGCCGAGCTGAACGTGAGAAATGAGAGTTTTGTGTTTGAGGCCATCCTCCGCTGGGTGAAGTTTGCCCCTGACAAACGCAGGCGTCACATGGAGATACTTTTGAGTAAAGTAAGTGAATGTTGGGGGCTTTAAAAATCATCTTACATCTGGTACACTTTGAGGTACCCCAGAAATTCAATGTCTGAATGCTTTTTTTTTTATATGATCATTACCAGCAGCCTCTTCCTCTCGTCTTTATTTAGGTCCGTCTGATACTACTGCCGACTACTTACTTGGCTATGACTGTCTGCAAAGAGGATCTTGTTAGGAACAATAAACACTGTGTGAATATGGTGGTCAGAGTAATAAAGATCCTCCGGCAGCGCGGCTTGAGGAGACCACTGTCCTCCTACCGTCTGCCCGCTCATGTGCTGCTGGCAATTGGGGGCTTTGAAGAAAACTATCCCTCTGGCAAGATTGACCTGTACAACGTGCGAACAGACAGCTGGAGTACAGCGTATGATAATACACTGGCTTTCCCACAGTTCTGTGGCTGCATTTACTCTAAAGGAAACATCTACTTCATTGGCGGGTCTAAAGATAACATCTGTCTGAACTCTGTGACAAGTTTCAACCTCGCCACCAAAACTTGGAAAGAGGTGGGGACGATGCACGATGCTCGATGTTATTTAAGTGTGGCCATGCTCGACAACCAAATTTATGCAATGGGTGGCCACAACATGGTAATCACCTTAAATACCTCAGAAAGATTTAACCCTGACACCAACCAATGGACTCTGATCGCACCAATGCAAAACCGTAGGACCGATGCTGCATCTGCTGCTCTGCACGGCAAGGTAAGTAGATCAATTATCAGGAGAAAAAAATCAAGGCTTGATCTGTGATTTTATCACCTGGGGATCTTTCATGGATACATTTAGACTTTGAGTGTGTCCTGCCTGGATAAGTGTGCAGTTATCCCTCCTGAACAAGTTCAGTTTATAGCCTGCAAACTGTTTTTTCTATTTTATCTGGCCATCTTTGACACAAAGATGACCAGATGATAGAACCATCCAACCATCCCTTTTCTTACACGCTTAATCCCAAGCACGGTCGCTAGGGGTGCTGGTGCCTATCTCCAGCTGTCATCAGGCGAGAGGCAAGGACAGGCCATTCCATCAGAAACATAGAGACAAACAACCATTCACTGACACACTCACACCTAAGGAGAATCTAGAGAAACCAATTAACTAACAGTTAGCTGGGTTCTCTCCGGGTACTCCGGAGAGAACCCACGCATGCTCAGGGAGATCATGCAAACTCCATGCAGAAAGACCCCAGGCCGGGAATCTAACCTGGGACCCTTCTTGCTGCAAGGCAGTGCTACCCACTGCCCCACTGAGCAGCCGATAATAGAACCATTTTTGATAATGTTAAACATATAGGTGTAACAAAAAGGTAAAAGCTGCAGAAATCTGTTAATAAATCTGATAAAATATCTCTTCCAGGGATGACATCATGCCTTGGTGTCTTCTTTTACTATAAAGATGTCAGAATATTAAAAATTAAGAAGGGGAAGCCAACTTAAAATACTTAGAATAAACTTAGAATTAAACCATCAAGTATGGCTTCATTGCAGAAAATGCATTAAATGTTTTGAACTATTGATAATCTGTCTCCTTAAATCAGGTGTGTACATGGTGACAGAGATGTTCATGTGGTTTAGGGTCATGTTTATGAGCAATGGCAGAACAGACCAAGATTTTTTTAAGGCAGGGTCCACCCTCAGTAGCGAGAGTTTAGTCCCATCTAGAAAGGCTTTCGACAAGGTGTAGTAAGGGCAATGCACCAGTCAATAGCAAAGTCCATATTGTTCTCATTCTCAGTGAAGTAAACCAGTTTCTGTCTCAGAGAATGGGTTCCTGACCAAAACCCTTAACCCCACACTACTCCCTGGGAGTCACACAATGGCAGCCCACTGCTCCCAAAGGGGATGGGTTGAATGCAGAGGGTGAATTTCCCCATTGTGGGACAATAAAAGGGATTTACATTAATAAAATTAAAGCATTTTCTAACATTCTTCCTCATCCTTCAGATATACATTTGTGGTGGATTTACTGTAGTTGGCAAGTTGTCTTCTTGTGAGGTCTACAACCCCGACACCGACCAGTGGACCTTTATCACCCGAATGGAAACCGGTCGCTCGGGAGTAGGTGTCATTGCCTACAACGATCAGCTCTATGTGGTAAAGAGAGTCAAAGAAACTAGTTGTTTTAAATTCAACTGTGGCTTTTCTGGTTCTAAATTTGCCGTTTTCTTTTTTCAGCTTGGTGGCTGCGATGATAGAAGAGTCATATCTGAGGTCTTGGCTTATGACCCCTCGTTTCAATGTTGGCACACATTGACTCCCATGGTGCACCCCCGCAGAGCCTTTGGTGTCGTGTTGTTGGAGGACCAGCTGTATGTAGTGGGTGGTCTAGCTGAAGATGATGAAGTGGCGACCGCTGAAGTCGAGCGCTATGATTGGAAGACAAAGACATGGAATATTGTCCAGGACCTCCAGGTTCCCCGCGGGGCCATCAAATGCTGCACGGTGGAGCGAATCCCCCATGCTACTGCCATCCTGTCCCAGGCAGACAAGTAAATAAATGTTGAGAATGCTTCATGGCACACCTAGCCGATGTTCTTCCTCGGTAGCAACACCAAGCTTGGTTTGTGAAAATACTGGTTAGCTGATTGGCCTATGTTGGTGATAGACAGGCCAAATAAACCAATCAGATCAGCGAAGCATATGACGTACTAACAGAGCGACGACGAAAACACAACCACAAGCCAGACACAAGCCAATTGATAGATCAAACTCTTGCCGAAACCGGGAGAAGAGCAAAAACATATTTTCCTCTGAGAAAAGCCTCCAGAGCAGTGTTTTGCTCTTCTTTCAGTGAAGAAATACTCTGTAATTCCGATAAAACTTGCTCGATAGCCACGCTAACGCTAGTTTCATCGGCTGAAGCCGCCATGTTCTTTAGACTGAACCGTCGCGCTTCTCGTTGCGTCACACCTCAACCCGCCTCAAAGCCAACGCTGATTGGACGTTCGTTTGGTGAACGGCTCCAAATTTTCTTTAACGGAAAGTAGCCAGACTGATCTGCGAGTGAAACCTTGAAAGCTCACAAGTGTCAGGCAAGAGAAACTGCAGCTTCAAATGTGTTTTTTCTTATAGCTTCCTTTCATCAGGAGCTCAGACAACATGGTTCTGGTGAATAGTGTCAAATCTGCACACATATAGGAGAATCCCCACTAGATAGGTCTCTCTGAGTTTTTCCAGACCGCTGGATTTTTTCCCCCAGAAGAGATTCCCCTTGTTTAGTCTCTCAGAATTTCCCTAGACCGCTGGATTCCCCTTAGTTTGTTCCTCTGAGTTCAATGTTTGTCTCTCTGCATTCTTCAATAAACTGGTTAACCTTTACCCTGCCTCTGTGCGGTGTTCTGCATGCGGGCAAATTTTAGGACCCCATCATGACATGTATATGTCCACTTCCGTCTCCTTGAGCCCCAGTCGGCCTCAGCAGATGGTCGCTCACACTGAGCCTGGATCTGCTGCAGGTTTCTTCCTGTTAAAAGGGAGTTTTCCACTCCACTGTCACTACAAGCATGCTTAGTGTAAGGGATTGCCATAGAGTCAATGAGTCGATGCAATCAACTGGTGTTCCTTAGATAGAAAACGATAACCGTATGGTCTGGTTGAATCTTGTTTAATTGTAAAGTAGCTCTAGTTGAAGTGTGTTGAGAATTGGAGCAATATAAATAAACTGAATTTAAATTAATTGAATTGAATCTGTAGCAGTAAATTGTTACTTGTGTTATTATGGTATTATTTTCTTTATCACAAATAGATGTTTAGAAAAAATGTTTCAGTAAAAAAATACAAGAGGAGAGTGGATTCATACTAATATGCATCTATGTTTACTATTGGTCATTTGTTTTTTTTCCTACCCTTATGTAACACAAGGGAAGGAATGATTGAGGCTACAAAAATGGCAACATCTGCTCTTAAGGATCCTGAGTAAATACCTAGTTGTTTTACACAAATATCTTAAGAAAAGCAATATTCAATGTATGCAATTGCAATTAACAAAACCTAAACTAATTAAAGCAGGGAGGATAAAAATTACATAATCTAAATACATAGCAAACAGCAGGTACAGTTTCCATGACCTCATTTCACACAGTAATACAAAGTAAGACCGGTTTTCTTTGATAAGTACTGTAACATTGCTTTTGACAAAATGTCAAACACAATGGAATCATTCCTTGTTCAAATCCTTAAAGGTACACTATGCAACCGGTGTTGATTTTCCAGTGAGGCTCCCTCCAGAGGGCGAAAGTAAAAGTGCACTGTCGTAAATATGCACAGCTGTTCTCCTGGTTTCTCCGTCAAGCCAGGCGCGGTTGTTTTGAGCTTAGCAGCGAATGACTAACGCTGCGTTCACACTGGACGTAGCTGGCGCGACAGAAGCAGCGAGTTTACATGCAAAGTCAATGGTTGACGCGCGTCAAGGCGCAACAAAAGGTCCCGCGGCGCGTTTTGAGCACCAGGCGCAGCACGTCTGAGCAGCTGAAGCAGCGCGTCGGGTGCGTTTGATGCAGGGAGAGAGACACAGCGCTGATGATCTCTCCTCTTAAATAGTTTATTGACGCCTAAATTAACTTAAAATGCAGAAATCTGCCGGCAGAATATGCAGTTTGGATTATTTAGATGAAAAACACCTACCAGCTGCCGCGGTGAACCGCTGCTGATGAAGGGATCCATACTGTTGGCGCCCCGCTGGTATGTTGGGGTCTGAGCGGCTCCGACAGAAAAAATATTGAAGGCAGGATAATAATCTGAATGAACTGACTGCACTGATTACGTTTTCAGGTGTATTTTCCTCACTTAAACACATATTAAAACTACTTTATTCCCACTGATCACAGCAAATATAGCTGCTAGGCAGAGAAAGGATAGTGAAGCTCCGCCCAACGCGCCTCAGACACAGCCGGAGCAGCAAAGCTGCTTCAGCCACGAGTCAGAACTAACTGGTACAAGCAGCAAAAAGGAAGCAGCAGACGCGATTTTGCTGCTTTTGCTGCGTGAACGTAGCATAACTGCACAAGGATCGCCACTGTGCTAGCAACGAGAATGCTTTTAACTGGGGGCGTCTAGCAGTTCTCGCCGTAAAGCAAGACTGACTCTCACGAGACTTCTGAGCCTGTGGGTGCGGGTCGGTGCTCCTGCAGTTGCAAGTGCAGTATTTCCCCCACAGACCACCAGGGCGGCCGAGAATACCTTTGTTCAACCTGAAATGACTCATTTAATCATCCAAAACGTTATGGAACACATTAATTAACTGAAAAATGTTGCATAGTGTCCCTTTAAATTTAGATATCTTCTTTTACATAGAAGAAATATGCAGCTAAATAAGCACAATCCTGCTGTAATACAGAACAATAGGACTCTAAGACATCTTGTACACTGCTCTTTGCAGATGATACTGTGTTTTTTGTGTGATTACACCTTAGTTTTAGAGGCAGATTTTAAGAAGCAGGATTAGGGCATTTCCCGGCCATTGTGCCCCGCCTTATCCCACAAACCCCCATTCCATCCCGCCATGGAGCCTCTCACGAATACCAGCATGGATGAGCTTGTCCTGCCACTGAACCCGTCCCACCTCACTGGTGACACACATACACACAATAATATGCACCCACCCTTATCGCCACCATCTTGTGCAGAAGTCTTTGCTTCCTGCTTTGCTCAGACAGAGATTCCTACTACTGTGCACTTGTAGACCACAGGCATACAAGGCACAGGCGTACCACAATTTGCCACAAAACAGGACTGGTCTTATCTCATTTTTTTTAGATTCAATCACACATAACTTCAGGTGTACCCACACTCTTGTCCACAAAACTTCTGACAGAGGTGTACACTCACTTGTTCTGTGGTATTCAATGATGGTGGGGGTGCTGTGTGTGGGTTCTGTCCAGGATTTTGGGGGAGATCCCTATCTGGACCCTACGGGTAGAGTAAAGCAGAAAAATGATGGAGAAAGGGAACTAGACAGATGAACGGCGAAGGGGCGTGGGGAGTTCATAGATGGTAGCAGAGGTGTTTTATCTTCAAAATTTACGTTTATCTTGTTGGTATGGTTGCAATAGATCTCTGAAAACATTAAAAAACAGAACAAAAACTCACAAGTCGCTTCTTGTTTTGTTGCTGTTTACAGCTCTGTTGCTGCCTTACCCACACCAACACACTCATCTGTTAAACAGGATTGTACTTCACATATTTGCCAATTTCTCGGAATACAAGTCATTTCCGTGTCAGTAAAGATTTACAAAGCAAAGATCACAAAAAAATTCATTGACTCAGAATGATTTCAGCCTGCTTAAGCAAATCTTGTTCCATTCACTTCAGGTTTAGCATTATCTCAGCATTATCTCATCAACATCACAATCTTATTATTGTCTCATATGACATTCATCTGCCCCGAATAAGCTATAAGTCTTACATAAGAAGCTACAAAGGCACTCCTCAAAGTTGAACAATCTTCAGGCTTATCTCGAAGGAATCACATTGTACACTCTTTCCAAATCAACGTTAGATGTGACTTGCTAGAGCATTTTGTTTTCAGTACCTTGGTGCAGACAACACTTTCTCACCTTTTGGGGTGTTATTATTCGTCTTACCCAGCCCAGTACTCAACTGGACCAAATGTTTGTAAAAATGCATTACAAAATAACGTTATAACGCAGCTATTTTCTCTGTTATGTCCTTAGGTTACTTACTTATGTCAGGATAATAGAACTTATCAATCGACATTTCATAATGGCACACCCACTGCTGCAGGAGAACTGCTGTCTCTTCTTGCTCAGAGGGAAGACCAGCACATCTTGCTGATGGTGTAATATTGTGGCACTGGGGCTGGCCTATTTGTCCACTCTGCACTCCTGCTCAGCTTCACCTCACCTGCAATCAGCCCTTAACTGGTTTCACCTGTTTCCACCTGCTTTTAAGCCCCATTCAGATCAGCTACCTGTGCCAGATTGTCTTGTACCTACCCGTGCGAACCTTCCAGCTTTCCTTTTGCAAACCTGTCTGCCTGCCTGTTGCCCGACCTGATCTGCTTTCTGTTACCGAGCCTGCCTGTCCCTGTTCTGCCTCTGCCTGCCTGCCTGGCACCCTGATTGGATCTGTCTCTGGATTTTGGACTCTGTTTATGGACCTGGATTGGAACTGGACCTCCCCTCCTGGATCTCCCTGCCTGTACTGCTGCTGGATCTGCCACACTGTTGCTGAGCCTGGACCCCTCTGGATCACGTCTCTGGAAAGCCCCACTGAATAAACTTCTGTCAACCTGACAGCTGCCTACGGGCCCGTGCCCCAGCAAACCCTGTCTGCAACCGGACTTCAGTTCTTAACTTAGGTAATTGCCTCTAACCGGCTCTTAATGCTCTGGACCTCCCGAGTCAGGGGCTCCCGTTATGCTTCCCTGTTCATTTCTCAAATAAAATCTGTAAAAGTCACTGACCTGTCTTGGTTGTATCTTGGGTCAGATTCCCGTACATTACAGATGGACGCAGTTTGTGGTCCATGTACCTCTGCTTA